CTTATTCTTATATATAATTCATAATTGTTTTAATACTATCAAGACATATGAATCTCAATTTTGAGCATATTTTTCAAAGGCGAGTTATAGGTTTTCCCAAAATTCATGGGTATTCCAGGTGTTGTCCGTTTTCCTCAAATCCATTTGTCCATTTTCCTCCCAGTTCAAAATATGAAAAATTGTTTTCTGTCTAATATGTGATCATAACGAAGTCGAAAAAGCAATGGGTCGAAGTCCATGAAAAGGGGACCCCTCCTTTCAAATAAATATTATGGAAAACCTGTTCCAGCGTATGACATACGTATTTCTTTTTAATATTTTAGCCAAAAGGCTTCTCCGCTTTAGTACAAGCAATGGAAAAGCTTATGTCTCAGTTCAGTGACTTATCAATGAATATTCGGAAACTGACATCGCCAGTTGAACAACTTAAAGATTAACGTTTACGGCTCTTTTTGGATCAAACGATGCCTTAACGGACGACATGAAATATGTTTATTATATCGATAAAGTCGATTAATCATCAGCTCCACGCCGCACATCATCTGATATTCTTTTTTGTTTATTTAATGTAACTTTAAAAAGATATTTTTAAGACAATACCGTGCATGCCAGACATGCCGGAGCTATATGAAATATTCCAGTATTTAATACTCATGTGGATTTAAAAGGCGCCTAATTATTTTATGAATGTGAGTAACAGTTCTCCTTCATATAAGATGTGAATAGGCTCCGACGATCGAGCCGTTTTAGACATACTGGAGAAAAAGAAGGGAAAAAATACGATAGCAAAACCAAAAACATAACTCAAAAAGATAACATTATATGGAAGGTTCATAGAGAAACGAAAACAGCGAGATTGAGGGAGCAGTTCAACTAAAAACAAATTGTTTCCAAGTCTTACCGTACCAAAAAGGACTCTGAAATTTTTCTCAAGATTTTTTAATATACTTCAAGCTAGAGAGTTCGCGTTTATTTTATTTTAAACCAGACACCTAACTACACGAGCTGACCGACGCCGATTTTTTAATAAAGCCTCTGTCCGTTTTCCAGAGATCCAACAACCTCAAAATCCCACGGTGAATCCAATCAGAGCTGATCACCTGCATTTTCCACTGCCTTCAAGCTACAGGCAATACAGGCAGATTGCCTTTATGTGCAGTACTTGACATTTTAAGATGAAGGAGAGAAACGTTTTATCCATAATTGCTTATATCATTTGATATGTCGTTTTCCTCTGATATAATGACCCAGACCGCATCTATGTAGAATGACTACTCTTATTTCTCTTTTTTAAATGAATAAAGTTTAAACTAAACTAAACTAAACGAAAAATATAGAATAAAGAAAAACAATAAATTTCGTTCTTATTGTATGTAAAGATGTTTCTTTTACTATGCGCACTACGTATAGTATATAGAAGATGACGAAAGACTATAACAATAACAGAAAGAGGAAAATATGGAACAAGGATAGTGAATTGTAACTGGTGATACAGTCTATAATTATCAGTGTGTAATACAGGCTGATAGTGGTCAGTAGGAAAAAAAATTATTATAACTAGCCTTAGGGTCCACCTACAGTCAACCTGCAGGATAGGGCAGTGCAGAAGTTTTCATCCTCAACCTCTGCCTGTGCAGAACAGAAGTTTTTTTTGCTAAACTGCAACGGGGTAAATTTTATTTAAATAGGCTCACTTCTAGAATATTCGAACGATTTTCTTCAGGATTGATGCTTATTGATTTAAACTGTTTATTTAAAGAAATCAAAATAAACAAGAAAAGTAGACCAATCCAGCGAAATCGTCGCCCTAAGGACTACATTGTATCTTCTGAGAGGAATCTTTAAACAGAACAAAAAATAACATCACCATAAAATAAAAAGAAAGACTTTTATTATTTATGAAGGAGCTACAATAAAGAGACTGGTGATCTATTATGCGAAACCAGTGCTCATAACGCCTTAACATGAGGTTCCTAGTCCAGCTCTTGACTTAAATCTGACTTATTTAACTGAATAAATATTTAACAACACCATAGTAAATAGTGAGATAGTCGAGAATTCAGCACTATGTCTTTTATATTCAGACGAGCTCAGCATACCTGTCGCACTTGTTTTCTTCTATGTAATAGATGCTCTTTTTTATGTGTGCTTTAAAATATAATAGCTAAAAGTCGAAAAGTGATTGTTATTTGTGCTAGACTTAACACTAAAAATAAGCGTAGTCTATATAGTGTCTTAGTTTAAGCAGCTAATTAAGATACTACTTATTTTTAATATTTTACATGCATTTCTTCTGATTATCGAACTGAAGTTGATGATACTGTTTAATTTTAAGCAAAATCATTACCACTATTAATCTACCGTTGGCGAACGAATGGAAAGATTATTAGTGTTTAGATATTTTTCTAATTCATTTCTTCTTCCTTGAAAATCCTTAACAACATATTTTTCTGCTTCTTGTCTTAACCATAATTTATTTGTATGATGTTTTACTAGTTTCTTAAAAATCATAACGCCTAAGATAATGCCAACAAATATTCCAATACAAGCAAATATTAATACAATAGCTACTATAATGACAAATAATCCACCACCATTTGTATTTTTACTACTTCTACTTCGTGAAGAACTGGAAGAAGAACTAGAACTACTCCTACTTCCACCACCAGTATTTCTCATTCCATAACAAAGACCAATTAAGCCAACAACACCTAAAAGCGCCAAAAATAATATAAAACCACTCAAATAATAAATCGCAAATGTATTCATCCAATTTGGAAATAAATTTTTAACATTATTATGATTTTTATCACCGATCTTTAATAAAACTGTGAGAACGAGAATAATTGCTTGAAGCAATAAAGCAATCAATGTTAAATCACGGATAAGTAAAAAATGATACTTATATAACCTTTTTCTATCAGCTTCTGAATCATCAATAATTGGTTCAATAACATATTCGAAGTGACAGATATCACACATTTTAAAAGCTTTCCCTCCTGTATTTTCCGATCGCCAGTCGTTTAAACATTTTCTATGAACATAAGCCGAACCACCTTTACATAAGCATGGGCTAATTATATCATTAGGGTTATCATTGTCTAAACATATTCTACATTGTTTTAAATCATTGGATGTAAGCAGTTGATCACACTCGTTGTTCACAGTGGACATAATTAAACGCCACTGTAGTGCTAAAACAAATAAATAATGTTTAGATATATTGCAAACCTATTGCTAAGAAGATGAAAAATACTTAGACTCCAATGATCATTCCCTATGCAAAACAAAAGGATACGAGCGATTATCTGATGAAATCGGCCCATGCCTGAGTTTCATAGACTAATCAAAGGCTAGATGTAGCATGAAGAGGGGAATATTTCAAGGTACTTACTAGACCTTAGAACCACCCAGGTCCAAGAAAACGGCACCGTTAACGGCCCGTTAACTGGTCGTTAACGGTAAGTTAACGTGCCGTAAACGGACCGTTTTTAGAACCTAAAACTCGTAACGTTTTAGGATCTTAAATAAATCGTTTTTTCACCGTTTACGGATCGTTTTCTAAACGTTTTCTTACCATTTACTGGCTGTTTATTGACCGTTTACTGGCCGTTTTTTTG